ATATGGTTTTTGAGGCAAAACCACTCTTTGATTGTCTCAACTTTTCGGTGAGATTGCTCTGACTGTCATCAGGAGAATGATACAAGATGACTTCTGTTGGTCTGTTGTGTGTAGAGAACCAAATGTCCAACTGGGATGCAGTTCTCAAGACTTAAGCGTATGGTTTATCATGATATTTGCGAGGGCGTTTCGACGACGTCTCCAAGATCCAAGCTGAACACTGTAATGTTTCAATATTATCAACCATTTACCGCAATCTTCAGAGTTTTCACACTAAATTGATTAAAAAAAAATTAAATGTCATTGAACTCATCTCTGTATAATAACAGAAACTTCTGCAGTACATTATCATTGGTTCTTTGTCCTATGTATAAATATTGCCCATTTTAGAGTAAGATCTGTTACTCTTATCTGTGAATCATGGTAGTTTGCCTTTTATCAAACTGGCCAATTCTTCAAATAATAGATAAAATAGATTTTCTTTATCAAATTTTAAATCGAAATTTGAAATTTTTGGCTGGGCCTGGGGGATCAGCATAAGCGAAAGCGCAGTGCAAACGGACAGGTAACTTTTTTATTGAGTTCATAGTATTTGAGTAGATAAGTATTGGAAAACACTGTACCTTTAGGTCAATGGTATCTCCTTCCATCTCCGTCAAGGTAAATTCATCCACAGACTCGGACTCTGAACTTACAATGCATCTTCCAAGGCGAAACGGTTCCTATGGTAAAAATAATACAATGTAAAAATAATGTTAACAGTTTTTAACATCAAACTATATTGCACAACCACAGATTAATTGATTGAATACTTACTCGAACAACTGAACATTTTCCCGCTGTTTTTTCTTTCACAAGAACAAACGCTGCTTTTCTGTCCCCATCAACATGAGGAAAGAGCATTCCATTTTTTGGTCGGTTGGCTTCAATCTCTGAAAAACGTTCCACCTACAAACGAGAGTAATAGGGAAAAGGGCATAAAAAAACTGATATAAATGCTTAGTATGATTGCAGATGTGGTTTGTGTCTGCATTCACTTTCTCACACAGTACAGGAGGTACATAGCTTGGCAGTCCCTGATTCCTAGCACACCGTTTTGATAAGACCATGACATGACATTACATCACTCAAAAGAATCACTTTCTGTGACTGCTACTTATGGCCAACAGACTGAATTTGCATTGTGCAGACACTTACAGAGTGTGGACTAATTAGTCAGTCAGTTGGTTAACCGACTATTTGTCGACCCAGTGTGTGCCCGATTAATAATACTTGTTAAAAGAATAAACGATTAACCTAATTTTTCAGACTGGACCTAAACTGTTCATACAAACCTTTCCAGTGCAAACAAGCACAGCGTAGACTGGCACATGCCTGGGGGTGCTGATCATCTTCTGCCATATTTGTTCCAGACCAGGGCCTAGTAGGAGCTGTGTCATATGAACAAGATGTACAGTCTCAAGATTCCAAGAAACACTGTCTACCGCAACCTGTCAAAAAATCAAAATATCATTTTATCATAATATATCTTTATCACAGAATAGCACATCCTTCTGAATGACAGTGGCCATGCCGCTTTTGTTTTTCCTTGGCTCTAATTCGGATTTTCTTGCAATTTGTTCTGGTTTTATGTACTTTGTATTCGTTGATTGCAAAAAGGAATAAAATAAAATAAATAAATAAATATTGTATTGATTTACAAATGAGTAATCTTGTTTTAATGCTTATTTCAGTTTTAGGGCAATCATAAAATGGGTAGGTAATTCAAAGAATTTTATTGAAGGTCAGACAGTTTCATTTGATCTCACCTTTCTAATTTCTGCCTTGATATTGCTTGGTATCGATGTAGTGAAGGAGCCATGATGTTTTATTGTAGATTTCGTTGCAGAGCTACCTTGACTTTGCTGTCAAATAAAAAAAGATATATAAAATATAAATACTTAATGAAGATCTATAAATGCTGGTGTCGATTGTAGTTGTAGGATAGAAGGAAAAAATAACTTTGAAATCTCTGCATATCACTTCATTCCAAGTTTTCCATGGTCTACCTTTCCCATGATGATAGTTGTGGGATTGGGTGACCATTGAAAGACTTGCAATAAATTGATGCAAAGAGAATTGTACAGCTGTAACCAAAAGACTTCTAACTGTATAGACAGAAGTCTTGATTAACCGGGGATCTGGTACAGGGCAGATTACACTGGAAGACTGCTATAATGTGATTTAACACAGTTGAAAGAAGTCACTTCTGGGAGATCTGATTAAATGAGCTTTTTAAACACATCTAACTTTATATATGCTGCTCATGGAGATACCTATCACCAGCTCACTTCTGGGAGACAATTGATAATACAGCAGTAAACTGCAAAAACATGTAAATAATGAATTGGTGGGAGAGGGGTCAGGGAGAATTTTGCTTTCATGTGGTGGGGGAGGCCATCTCGATTGCTGTGAATCACAATAGATTTGGGCCCCTCTCGACATGGAAAAAAGAGTAATGAATGAACGTATAAATTTCATGTAGATTAACCAATTTCATTTATTTCATCCAACAAATACAAAACGAACAGAAATAACAATACCAAAAATCAAAGACATGATAAACAAAAAGCAAACTTAATTGCTGTACAAAGTTTCTCCACTGATTTAAGGAAAAATACATAAAATAAATATATAAATCTCTGTTCTCTGGAAGTAAAAACGAGCAAATAACGGCCAAGTCCAATAAAAAAAAGTTACTAAGTAAAAATTTAAAAAAAAATAAATAAAATAAAATAAAATAATAACTTACCACATTTACTTCTTCTAAAAAGTCTTCTGTTCTCCTCTGACCTTCTTGCAAACGCTCTCTATCATCATGCCAAGTAGGCGTTGATTTGTAAATACGGTTCAGTAGCAACGGATATCTTTAAAAAAGTTAAAAACCATCAAATACATACTTTCTATGGGCACCCTAACATAAGTATTAATCTTTTAAAATTCAATTCTATACAATGATTACACACTTAACAAAAATTTACTCAAAAAAAAACAAGCAAAAATAAAACAAGCAAAAAAAAATATCTGAGACTGTCAAACCAAAATCATTGCAAACATTATTTTATTTGATAGACAATGCTCTAAATGACTGAACATTTTTTAAGTATTCTAATCAGGCACTTTGTTAAATTGTTTATGTCTGAATGCGCTATTTTGTCTTCATCGTCAACATTCACTACTGTAGTTTTTTTCTCTTCCTGGGCAAGGATGAAAATGTTTGTCTTGGTGACAATTATGAAGAAGGTGATCACGGTGATCATGATGATGAGAATTGTTCCTTGAATCATGAATACCTCATACTCCTTTGTACCGGCACCATAAGAAATGACTTTAAGTGTTGTCGACGAACTGCCCGGTTGTCATTCTGTGAAACTTCAAGGAAAACACGTAACAACTGTTTTTCGCTTTCAAGAGATTTTAGGAGGGCAGCACCAGTTGGCTGAAAATTAAGTCAAAGGTATTTGTTTGTCACTTAATATAAGTAAGTATGCTAAGAATAATAATGACCATGCTTATGCCCATGACAGAGACTTTGAGATAAACTACCAATTCTTTGAGACTGCACCATTTTTTAGATGATATAAAACCTCTAATAAAATAATTAAAATAAATAATTAAAAAATTTAAATTATTAGGCCAATGGTCAAATTTGCATATTGCTCACCTTTAACCTCTTTTGTATAAGCTGTAGGGTCATTGTTATCATAGGCTTAAAAGATTAGTATGGTGGCTAACATTTTGACAATGTTTTTCTTACAAGGTAAGCTACAATTTTCTTGATTAAACTATTAATACTTTTTTATAAAAAACTTAAGGTGGCTGTGTTCTTCACATAATGTTTGGTTAGTTAGCCTGTCTTGAACTAGGTAGGCCTAGGCTATGGTTGCATGGAGTTTGTTAGATTTTGAAAGGGATAAAACTGGCTTTGCCTGAGGTTCTGTTAGGATCGAGTGTGACTCAACTAAATTTGCTTTTGGTACCTGGAGTTCAATTATGGTTAACCTGGGTTTAAACTAAGCTTGTCTGTGTTCAGTTACTGTACCTGAGTTTCTGATACTGGTAGGCCCAAGGGTTGTCTACAGTCACTACTGCATTTCTAAAATGTCTTATTTTAAACTTAATTAGGCCTTGCGACTTACTTGATTGACACAATATGCTTCAAATGCAGGAAACAACATGCTGAGGTTCTCCAGAAACAATTTACCAATATTTACATTAACAAAATCCTACAAAAAGAGCGCAAGAAAAATGTTAATCATAGTAATAAATTTTGTGAACAAAATAAGTGAATTAACTTTGTATATTGTACATCATATCAAGTGCTAATTTTATCTGCCAATTTAGAATATTTGTTGAAAGGCTAAGCCTACAGTTTCATCTTAATTTAAT